TCACATGCTCACACTGGTCATTAATTAATTTACACTCAATGTGGATGTAAATATGCATTATTACAAAAGCCTGAAGAGGGCAGTAAAACCTTAATAATATTAGGCTGTATTTCAAGCCATCTAACTGAAATAACCTTATATGTCAGAACTTTAGCCTACAGTGTAAGTCAGCAGTCTCCAACCTTTTTTGCGCCACGGACCTTTTTATGCCCGACAATATTTTTACGGACCGGCCTTTAAGGTGTCGCGGATAAATGCAACAAAATAAAACTAGTACTGGTACCAAAAAAAAGGAGATTTATTCATAACACACGTGAAAAGACCCAGGAAAGCCGACTTAACAATCAAAACGATAACAAAATAACGCTGAAGACCGATAAAACCCCTGAAAACCATACATTTCACACCTGAGCCTCAACTCTCGCGGCCCGGTACCAAACGACTCACGGACCGGTACCGGTCCGAGGCCCAGGGGTTGGGGACCGCTGGTGTAAGTAATGACTCAAATCAAGTGTAAACATGGTTATTTACCTGTACTTAAAATAACAATGAAACAACAACAACTTTGACTTGTCTCCAGTGACACAGTAAGACCCTCATCCCTGACCCAAAACCCGTAAGATGCCTCCAGGCTGACGTCTCCAGTTTGTTTCAGTTCGTTTCTTATACAGGGGATGAAGTCACTTCAATAGAAGGCATATGCTGAGAAAGTACAGTTGTTATGTAACCTCGGTAATTTATCCAATGATGAGTCACTTGCTTGACAGAACTAGAGCCACCAGCTTTCATGCAGTATCAAATTTATCTACAGTACGTTGAATAAAAAGTTGCTTAATGGAACATCTGCGTCATTTTTTTTTCTTTTGCAAAAGCATGTGGGTGGTAATTTCTTCAGATGTTTGGCTAACACTGTGAGTCATTCATGAGGGCTGTCATGTTCAGAACGCAGTCGGGCCACGTTGTTCTAAAAAAGAAACAAACTCTGCACCCCGTGAAAAACAACACGTCAGACGATTAATCTCCCTGTAATGTTATCTGTTTCTGAAGAACACCTAAATCTTTCTGTTCTAAGAAACACTGCGGCAGTGGAATAAACTTTCCCTGAAAAGGAAGATTTAAGAGGGAAACTAATCTGTTGAGGTTGACACATGACGTTCCCACATCTCTTGGGAACCACAACAGAATTTTCATTGCTTCTTTCAGTGTATCTGTGTAAATCCACAAACCTCTGCCAGGAAGCAGATTTTAAAAAAAGAAAAAAAAAGTTGGCAGTTTAAGAAGAAATGCCATACAGAGAGATGGGGGGGCTAAATTAACACACTCGATTCTATTATTGTATCCCACTCTAGCTGGAGTGCACGAATGCCAAGAGCTCTGATAGAGGAGAACAGTGACGACTGTGACATCACTGCTCCTTCAGCGCTGTGAGACGGGGCTCGACTCGGCTCTGCACCAGCAGCAGCAACCTAAGGCGATGGACAGATGATGGATGACTCATTCTCCGCCACCCACACCACTTCCAGTCGTCAAGAAACTCTCACCGGGCTCCACGCGGTGATCTGGTCACCCCGAGGGGAAGGATAGACAAGTAGTTGTGATGTTCAAGTAAGAAAGAAAGTTACCGCATTTTA